GTTCGGGATCTAGGCCAAGGTTGAGTGACGCGCCAAGCCAAAAGACGGAATCGAACTAAGCAAGTACGATTGATTTACTAACGTCCAATAAAGGCGGTTCTACAGGTACATACTGGTTACATCACAAGCACAGGTACAAACCTCAATTCGTCGCGTTCTCACAGAGAGTTCACCGGACAGTCAATCGGTCTAGGCTGATACAGATAACAGCTACTAGGGCCAATCGAGCGGACAGAATCCTCGGTGGCCGAACAAAGCAAAACTGGCCGGACGAAGCATAGACACCGAGTGATAAGAGCAGACCGACTGTCATGAGGACTGTTCAATCACAGTCGGGGCACAAGGTCACGCGGGTCATGTCACAATTAAACGAAGGAACATGAACCGGAGAAGGTGCGTATGTGAGGGAAGAGAGATGTGTGTGTGTGTGTGTGTGTGTGTGTGTGCATGCCTGTGGGGAGGCAGTCGGAAAATCACATGATCGAACATGAATTAGCAGTGTGCCGACATATGGGTGAGGGGGTAGATGACAAGTGGCCAAGAAACAGTGGTCAATAAACGACCGAGAGCAAGGTAGACTGGGAACATTGGAACGGACCGGTAAAACGGAATCAACACCGCCCCCTCAAAGTCGGCACGGCTTTTACTATGACTCCACTCGCTACACGAACCATCAGAACGGTCCCATACGAAAATGGTACTATTTACTCTTGCCACAATCGCAGAAACCGAACTGGATGGCGCCCTACTCACGAGTGATAATCCTACTGGTCGTCGGCCCCTTCTAGTAGACACAACTTCCGAATGTCTCGCAGAATATGTCTTTTCGGAGATCTCACGGTCGCCTGTCGTACCCGCCCATCTGAACGAATTTTGACCTCCGTTACGACACCTTTTGACTATGTCCCGCGAGGTCGACTCTCATCTATAGTATAAGGATCAAATCTCCTGTTCGTAAGTTTCTACGCGCTTGTCTCCATTTGTTCCGAGTATTCAACAATGGTAGGTACTCCACTGTCCAGCATCGCCAAAACGTGTCTACGAGGAGCTGGCTCTGCCTCCACTGACGAGTATACCGATCGCGTAGCTCCACTTCGGTTTCGATGATATCGTTTTGTTCCCTCAGTAGCAGCAAGCAGCTAGGCGAAAGCGGTCTAGGGGTGTCGGGGTCATCGTATACAGGGNAGGTAGATTTTCAAGGACTCTTCGGTTAAAGTCTGCTCCCGTCGGTTCCCTCTAGTTTTCCACTTCTCCAACACAGAGATCGGATGCGTTCGTAAGCTTGTTTATCCAAAACACATTTACTCCCGTGTAGCTCTTTTAGTGCTCATTCTGGTCGGA